AAAATTATTTTAAAAGTTCTAGCTGGATATTCAGTCCCATATAAATACTAGCTACTATTATTTGCCTAAGGCCTCTGAGTTGGAGCACGAAGCACGTGTGCCTCCCTGGGTCTCAAACACCAAGGGTCATCCACATTTTTGAATCATAGGTTTTAGCTGCGATATCCTTTTTAAGGATCACAGCTTTGAAGGTTGGAGGAAGCATGTGCTGATTGACAGGGATGCTGTGAGGAGAAATAATTTTCCAGGGGCAAGCAGTGGTTACCATGGTTTCCAACTGGCAGAAACTCCAAGGTCAATTCCTGGAAAATATTTCACTGCTGATATGAGCAGGGTGGTTCCTCTACATTCCTAATCACTTCCTCTGCACCAGGGCAGATTGAGCCTTGCTTTCAGGCAGCAGGAAAGAGAAATCTGAATAAGTAGACATCAGAAAACATAGCCATCCAGCTGACCACTGACCATGAAGTCAAATACAGTTGATTCCCCAGGGGAGCCAGAAAAGGGAAGTGTCATTTGGAGCAATGAAATTTTAATAACCACAGAGGGAATAAAGCATTTTGTTATAAGACTCAGGTCTGCATTGATAAAGATCACTGGTGACAACTTACACTATTTGAAATTTTTGTTCTGCTCTATGAGTGACTAATTTTTACTTCTCCAGAAATGCAAGTCTCAAGGCACCGGGGGAAATCGCAGTGCACAAAGCCTTGGTAAAAGCCACGGCACAACCCAGCACCTCACTTAACTCTGTGCATCTATTTCATCCTCAAGTCACTTCTCCTTCCTTTGGAATTAAGCTCCTCTGACAGCCCAGCTGCAACATCTATTAAATATTTTTTCTCTATAGAGTGGCTCCAGTTGTTTCCAGGAAGCCTTTCCCACAGGGAAGGGGATTACTTTCAGAAGCCTGTTCTCCAGGGCAGTGGCCTCCCCACAGGTGTTCAGCATTTCAGGGCAGCCCCATTAGCCAGGCTCTGAAGGTGGGTGTGTTCATTACGGACAGGATGAGGAGTTGTTTTATAAAAGATCTAAAAGATGCAAGTTTCTCTACCATGGAAAACTCTGCCTGAGTAAAATACCAAATTTTAAAAAAAAGAAGAAGAAGAAAAGAAAAATAACCTTTTACCAACTGGTAACAACTCAGAAAATAACACTACAAATTAAACAGTCATTCGAATGCTTTTGAAAATGTTTTTAAATGACAACTTAGAGAAGTCAAACCAATGTTGTCTTCTACTTATGCAGGATTAACACTCATCTTTTTATAGGGAAGGGAGGGCCTAGCCATCTACTTACAAAGCTGTAATAAAGAATGAAGAAAAAGAAGTTGTGTTTAGGACTTGTGACATTTTTTAATGGCTACATATTCTTTGTAGCTACTCCTATCAAGAGGTGAAGTTTGTTTCCCCTGCTCTTAAATCTAGACTGGTCTTGAAGATTGCTTTGGCTAACAGAATGCATTGGAAGTGAAGTTGTGAGACTTCTTCGTCTTGGCTTCCAGAGGCCTGTAGCTTCTTCTCTCACCCTCTTGGATATTGCCCAGTATGAACAAGTCTGAGCTGGTCTGCTGGGGGGACCAGATGGAGGAGAACTGAGGCACCCTGATTAATGTCACCAACCACCAGTAATGTGAGTGAGGCCTTCTTAGACCACCCAGCCCCTGTCAAGTCACAGATGGCTGCAGCTGCATAAGTGACCTCAGGCTAAAGCAGCGGAACCATGTATTAGTCTGTTTTCGTGCGCTGATAAAGACATGCCCAAGACTGGCAATTTCCAAAAGAAAGAGGTTGAATCGACTTACAGTTCCACATGGCTGGGGAGGCCTCACAATCATGGCAGAAGGCAAGGAGGAGCAAGTCATGTCTTACATGGATGGTGGCAGGCAAAGAGAGAGCTTGTGCAGGGGAACTCCTCTTTATAGAAACACTGAATCTCATGAGACTTATTCATTATCACGAGAAAAGCACAGGAAAGACTTGCCCCCATGATTCAATTACCTCCCACCAGGTCCCTCCCACAACACATGGGAATTCAAGATGAGCTTTGGGTGGGGACACAGCCAAACCATATCAAACCATCTACCTGAGCCTAGCCCAAAGCACTGACCCAGAGAATCATAAGCAAATAAGATACTTGGTTGTTTTAAGCCATGAAATTTTGGAGTGGTTTGTTACATAGCAATAGATAACTGCCATATGATTCATTTCTAGTTTAGTGCTTGATTCATCTGAGAAATCAAGAAAATCATATTCAATTACAAAAAATATTCAAGCAATGAAGTATTCCCATTTACTAAATCTTGGAGACAACATTAGAGGATTGGAGACATTATTTAGAAAATGTAAACAATCTGTCAAACAATTTGATTCCTTCATACATGCTCGCTCTGAATACCCACCTTCATTTCTCAAAAGCAATTATTTTTATAAAAATTATGTGTAAAACTGACAAATTCTGACAGTCAGAATTATCCTGGAACAATATAGTCACAGGCTTATTGATCATTTATTATTGGGTAATTTACTATTGTTCTGATCATTGGTTTATCTAAACTCTTTCCCTGTGTAGTAAAGAATTTAACCCAGCCCAAAGACAGATTGTGGGAGGTAATCTCTAAGTCCTTGAATTATCACGCTGGACAGGAGTGTCTTTGTTTGTCTGGGTGTCTTGGGTCAGCCATGTAGTGACCATGTGTTTTAAGGTAGGAGCCCTGAGCCACAACAACACTGTGATTTAGGGTGGGAGTTTTCGGTTGTGTAGTATCAGCTTGACTTCCTGTGGGGCTAAACGTTGAGAAAAATCATGTGGGCAGTTGACCGTGCCTACGTGATGGAGCCCCAGTGAGAATTCTGGATATCAAGGCTTAGCAAGCTTCCCTTGTTGGCAATACTCCATGCACATTGTCACACATCAATGCTTTGAAATAGCACTTTCCTTACTCCATGGGGAGAGAATAATTAGAAACTCCACTTTCAGCTACCTTTCCTTGACTCTGCCCTATGACTTACTTCTTCCCTTGGCTAATGTTAATCTGCATCTTTTCCTTGTAATAAGCCATAACCATGAGTATAAAATAGCTTTCAGTGACATCTGAGAGTCTTTCTAATGAGTTATCAAAACCAAGGGTGGTTTTGGGAACACCTTGAACTCACAGTTGATTTCAGAAGAGTGTAGTCCTATGTAAGCTGTTCCCCTAACTTTGCAGTTAGTCAACCTTTGCACCCTTTCAAGATGTAATTCAACACTGCCTCCAGGAAACCTTTCCTGACTACCTCAATTTAAAAAAAAAATCTTCTGAATTCTTACATTGTGTAGGGCTAACCTGTAATTATCTTGCAGTATTTGGAAAATGGCTTCTGGCTTTGCTATTGATCATATTGATAGGTAGATCTATCACATGTCATGTATTAGATTTTAGTGCCTGGAGGATTCAGCCTGTTTCTTGAACCCTTTCTACTAGCCAGCACATTGTTTTCAATTAAACTCTGTGGTGTTTAAAAAGGAAATTGCTGCTTCTAGCATCAACTAGGAATTTCTGAAATATAGGTTAATTAATAAGACTGAAATAATTATTCATTCATTCAACAAATGTTTATTGGCTGGGCACGGTGGCTCATTCCTGTAATCCCAGCACTTTGGGAGGTCGAGGTGGGCAGATCATTTGAAGTCAGGAGTTTGAGACCAGCCTGGCCAACATGGTGAAACCCTGTCTCTACTAAAAATACAAAAATCAGTCAGGCATGGTGGCACATGCCTGTAATCCCAGCTACTAGGGAGGCTGAGGCAGGAGAATCACTTGAACTCAAGAGGCAGAGGTTGCAGTGAGCCAAGATTGTGCCACTGTACTCCAACCTGGGCAACAGAGCGAGACTCTGTCTCAAAAAAAAAAAAAAAAAAAATTAATTGAGCATCTACTAAGTGCTAGGCTCCAGGGATCGGCAACAAGCAAAATAAATTTCTATTTTTAGGAAGTTTCCATTCTGGAAGATAAAGATGACAAATAAAACATACCTTTTTTTTTTGAGGCAGAGTCTCACTCTGTTGTTCAGGATGGAGTACATGGTGTGATCATGATTCACTGCAGCCTTCACCTCCTGGACTCAAGCATCCTCCCATCTCAGCCTCCCAAGTATCTGGGACTACAGGCATGCACCACCATACTTGGCTAGTTTTTTTTTATTTTTTTGTGGAGCTGGGGTCTTGCTTTGTTGTTCAGGCTGCGTATATGCTATTATATTAGATAGCGATAAGCACTAGAAAGAACAATCAAGCGGAATAAGAAAATAAAGTGTGGTGAGGATAATTAGTTTAGAGAGGATGATCAAGGGAGGCTTCTCAAAGCACGTGACATCTCAACAGAGATCTGAATGCAGCAAGAGAGTGAACCATGCAGATAAGGTTTGCAAACCTGGCCTAAATGTTTCCATTGTCTAATGACTTCAGTAGCCAAATGCATTCAAGAATGTGGCTGTTCAATTTATTGAATGGTAGATTACTTAAAAAAAAGGTTTTTTAATGAGTAAGGAATTCAAATCCAGTCTTAACACAGATACATTCTCATAGTCCCTTTAAAAATAAAAATTAAAAAATTACTGACATGTAAACAGTTTGCATGTGGAAGAGGAACAAAGAACGTTTATAGCTGATTGAAGACAAAGTTCAACCTTGTAATAGTCTTTATGTTTCAAATTTCTTGAGGAGACACTCAGGGGGACAACTTCTGTCTAAATAATCATCCCACTAGGGGAGGAACCCTTGAAACAAATCGCCCCTTTGTTAGACTGAGGAATGTGCAGTTGAAGCTTGACAAGCTATGGCACAATTCTAAAGATAGGTGAGTGATTCAAATAGAAGGATCTTCGCAAAGGTAAATGTGAAGAATAACTTTTTGAATATAAATCGCAAAACCCAGAGAAAACTGTCTTATGCTTTTTCACTGTATTTTGTTTCAACAAACAAACCAAGTTTCACTAATTTATTTTATTTTATTCTATTTTTGAACAGAAAGAAATCTCATTACAGGGAGAACTGGGAACTCCATGATAAGAAAGGTACGACTTTTAAATATGGTGACTGTGGGCTAGGCCCGGTGGCTCACGCTTGTAATCCCAGCACTTTGGGAGGCAGAGGCGGGTGGATCACCTGACATCAGGGGTTCAAGACCAGCCATGGTCAACATGGCAAAACCCTGTCTCTGTTAAAAATGCAAAATTAGCCAGGTGTGGTGGTGCGTGCCTGTAAACCCAGCTACTTGGGAGCCTGAGGCAGGAGAATCACTTGAACCCGGGAGGCGGAGGTTGCTGTGAGCCGAGATCATGCCACCGCACTCCAGCCTGGGCGACAGAGCAAGACTCTGTCAAAAAAAAAAGCGATTGTCAGAGCTGTCCCATTCCCACCTTCTGATTTCGCTTGGTCCTTGTCATTGTTCTATTCTTCATGATGAGCAAGGAATGTACAATGGACATCATGTTTGAATATGGGAATTCTTTTGTGATCTGGAATTCCTCTCCCCACAAGGCTCTGTTCTTTGGCACTCTTGCACATATGCACTGAAATAATTAAATGTCATGGAAATCCTAAAATACTTTGAATCATCAAAAGGGGCTTAAATTATGTCAGGATAGCTGTGGTGTTGAGTATGTTATGTATTCTAGTTCTTTAAAAACGATGAGCCAGGTATTGTGTATGTGGTAAGGCTTGAGTAACCTGAATAATCATTAACTAGGATATACCAGAACAAATAATTTTTCAAGCAAGTTTTTTTTTTTCTAGATAGCAAGACAAGATGTCTTGGTTTGAAACGGATGGGAAAAGGAAAGGGGATATATGAGAGCTCATTTGTCATGGTAGTGTTAGAGCTGAAGTCCATGTTTTTAGGTCTCCAGAATACCACTTTTATTTAATATTTTCCCTCTTCTCTTTCTTGGTTCCCTGCAAAATGGTGAAAATCTTGCTGAGAAATGGTACCATGAGAAAAAGTTGAGAAAAGAGGGGGCAGATCTGCCTCAGAGAAGTTGCTATGGGGCAGGAGAAAAGAGGGAAGTGCCTTGCCCATTTCTCTCTCTTTTCCCCTCCAAACATACTAGAAGACTGGTATTTAATGTGTTGGCAGCGTCTTTGTAGAGAAATGAACATCTTTTCTGGGTACCGGGGGAGGGAACGTGCTGGTTGCCATACCTATATTTGTCAAATGGGAGTCATGCTGAGAAATCCAAAAATAAAAATAATTTTAGGGTAAAGTCTTAGGAACTTAAAATCCATTTATTTAGAATTAAATAAACACCTTCTAGATACCATTCCTCAGCTAAGTGCTATGAAGGACATTAAATAAGTATAACAGATAGTCCCTACTTAGCATTCAGCATCTAATTAACTTACATATTTGACTAAGGGTGGTGAAAGACATGAAAGAAAGATAATACATGGACCTGGCTTTCTAAGACCTCATGGTTTTGTGGGAAATAAAAGACATGCACTTGAAATATTTAAAATGTTTAAATAGTCCTAGGCAGGAAATATAAGCGCCTGAATGGTTTGCAGAGTCTAAACAGTCATTTGTTAGAAGAGAAAACAAGGGTGGGCTGCAATGGGATTCATTGATGAGGAAGGACGTGCTAGTACCTGTGGGGTCTTTGTTTGTAAACCATTTTAATTCACAATGAAGTATACTTACCATCAATCCATGAAGAGAAATTTAGGCAAACATATATACATAGGACAGCAATGCTATAAAATGGGCCAAGGCACTGCTAGAAAAAATAACATAACTTAAAAGTATATTAAACCCTGGCAAGAATTTAAAAATATTGAAGATAAAGTTACTATGTGACCCAGAAATTTCACTCACATGTATATACTGAAAATAACTGAAAACATATGTCCTCCCAAAAACTTGTACATGAGTGCTCATAGTGGCATTACTCACAATAGCCAAAAAGTGGGAACAATTTAAATGTCTATCACTTGATGAATGAACAAATTGTTATATCCATACAAGGTAATGTTACTGAACAAGGAAAAGGAATTATCTACTGACATATACTCTTCACAGATGAAGTCTGAAAACATTATGCTAAGTGAAAGAAGTCATACTCAAAAGATGACATATTACATGACTCTATTCATATAAAATATTCAGAATGGACAAATCCGTACAAACAGAAAACAGATTAGTGATCCCCAGGAGTTGGAGAGAGCAGAGAACAGGGAGTGACTGCTTAACAGGTTCAGATGAGGTTTTTTGGGAGAGTGATAAAAATGTTCCAAAATTAGAGAGTGGTGATGGTTGTACAACTTGGTGAATATACTAAAAAAAATCACTGAATTGTACACTTTAAATTGTACACAGTATGTATCTATTTAAAAAGATAAATTTTATGGTACATTAATTGTATCTTAATAAAGTTGTTAAAGAAAAAGCCTAGAATGAATAGCTCTCTCAAAGTTGCTAAGAATGCTAACTCCTAAGAGTACAATTACAAAACAGACACCTCAGAAATGAAGAAAATAAATGGGCAAAATATAGGAGATTCATAGAAACAAGATTCTGTCTGGAGTTTTGTTTCTCTTAATGTTGTATAAAGAATTAAAAACAAATCCTATAAGATACACCTGAAATAAGGGTGAAAATGGAGTGTTACGTGTCATTTTACATTGATAATTAAAGGCATGGAATTATTATTTGTAAATGCCTTGTTAAAGATATATCAAAGTCTGATCCTTTTTTAAAAAAAAAAAAAAAAAACTTATTTAGAGCCGGGTATGGTGGCTCATGCCTGTAATCCCAGCACTTTGGGAGGCCGAAATGGGCAGATCACCTGAGGTCAGGAGTTCGAGACCAGCATGACCAACATAGAGAAACCTTGTCTCTACTAAAAATACAAAATTAGCTGGGCATGGTGGCACATGCCTGTAATCCCAGTTACTTGGGAGGCTGAGGCAGGAGAATCACTTGAACCTGGGAGGCGGAAGTTGCAGTGAGCTTAGATTGCACCATTGCACTCCAGCCTGGACAACAAGAGCAAAACTCCGTCTCAAAAAAAAAAAAAGTATTTAGAAATAATTTCAAACATACAGAAAAGATATAAGAATAGTACAGAGAACACTCATCTATACATTGTGCTGTACTTTATCATTTGTGCTTGTGCTGTCTCTCTTCCTTTCTTATCCCTTCCTCCCTTCTTTCCATCCCCTTTCTCTTCTCCCCTTTCTCTCTTCTCTATGTATATATATAAATGTATTTATATTTACATATATCTCAAGTATCTATCTCAGTATATAACATTTGAGACAGATAATACATATTTGAAAGTTGAAAATATTATGTCCCTGTACCTAATTTATCAATGTGCAGTGTATATTTCCTAAGAATAAGAATACCATCTTACAGTGTTACATATCCAGAGTAAGATTACCAACTTCAGGAAATTTAACATTGATATAATACTTTAATATAATCTACTATCCAGCTTCCAATTTTGTCAAGGAACATGGCATGTTAGTTATCTATAGCTGCATAACAAATTACTCCAAAACTTAGCAGTTGAAAATGGCAAACATTTATGATCTCAGTTTCTGTACGTCAGGTGTCTGCGTGTGGCCTGGCTGGGTCCTTTGACCAGGTTATAATCAATGTGTAGGCTACGGCTGTGGTCTCATCTGAAGGCTCAATGTGGGGAGGATCCACTTTCCTGCGCACTCACGTGGTTGTTGGCAGGATTCAGTGCTTCACTGGCTGTTGACCAGGAGTTTCTCTCATCTCTTCACCCCATGGTCCTTTCTTTAGGGCTGCTCACAGCATGGCAACTAGTACCTTAGAATAAGTGAGGGAACAAGCCCCACAAATGGAAACTTCCAGCAATTCTCTGTAACCTTATATTTGAAGTGACATTCTATTACTTCTGCTATCTTCTATTCATTAAAAGCAAGTCAGTAAGTCGTTAGTTCAGCCCACATTGAAGAGAAATGATTATACAAAGGGGCAAATATCAGGAAGTGGGACCATTTTAGTGGCTGCCTACCAGACCCAGTAATTTTTTTCAGTACAGGATTCAGTCTAAAATCATATATCATAGTTAACATATCTCTTTAGATTTTTTTTCTTCTTTATGATACTGACATTTAAAAACACAGTTCCTGTTTGTAAGATGGAATGTTCCTTGTTTGGGGTTTCTATAATGCTTCCTCATTATTAAATTCAGGCTATGCATTTCCAGTTAAATAGTACAAAAGTAGTAGTATCTCCTCTTTAGGCCATCATATCCAGAAGCACATGATGTCTGTCTGTCCTTTATTGGTGATGTTTGTTTCAATCACTAGTCAAAGGGGTATCTGATTTCTCTACTGTATAATTACTATTTTTTTCACTTGCAACCAAAAGGCAATCAATGGGGAGACACTTTAAGAACATGTAAATTGCTCATTCATCACCAAAATTTTATCTAGATTGAACATCGGGTGACTCTTGCCACAAACAATCTTAAATACACAATGGTGGTAAAATAATTTTTTTCCCCAACTCCAGCTCTCCTGCCACATCTACCAGTTGACACTAGGTATTTGTATTAGCCTGCTCAGGCTGCCATAACAAAATGCCACATACTGGGTGGCTTCAGCATCAGACATTTATTTCTCACAGTTCAGAGGCTGGACATCCAAGATCAAGGTGCCAGCCCAGTAGGTTTTTCTTGAACCTCTCTCTTTAGTTTGTAAATGACATCTTTCTTGCTGTGCCCTCACTGGTCTTTCTCTGTGTACATGCCCCAGGTGTCTCTTCCTCTTCCTTTGAGGATACTAGTTTTATTGGATGTGGGCCCCACCCTATTGACCCCATTTAACCCTACTTACCTCCTTAAAGGCCCTATCTCCAAATACAGTCACATTAGGGGTTATAGATTTAACATATGCATTTTAGGAGGACACGATTCTGTTTATAACAGTATTCTACTGTAAAAAGAGCCATCCTTCTCATACATTTACTTATTTATTTCTATGCTTATGAGTATATAGAATGGATTCTATATACTTTTCTTTTTCAATGGTTTATAATTTG